ATTTCCAATTTTTGTGGACAACTTTTCTACTATCAATTTTTCTGAATGTGTAACAATTATCCTTGTTCAAGCTCCATTTTTAAAAATTTTATTTTTAATGACTATCGCATTATCACGGTATAAAATACATGTACAAGGCTATACATTTTAACATAGAAACTTTTTTTTTGAAAATGTCTATCATATTTCAGAGTTTAAAGTAAATTATTTTAGTATTCTTGTAAAACAGAGAAGCTCTTACTACTAAGTATTTTATTAAATAATGAACTCTATTATTATATTTGAAAACCTCACGGAATTATATACTACAATAACATAATTGACATATTGAAAAAATTGTACTACTGCTTTCTCATATTTTATTTGCTTTTTTTTGTTTTTAGTGATATTTAACGTTTAAACTAGTTAAGTATTAAATTAATAAAAAAAATCCATAATTTTAATTTCTCATTAATTGATCTATCCAAGAATAGATTAATGATTGACATTAACAAGGCTGGTTCTAAATCTTATTGTTACATACTATTTGACATTATTATTAATATTATTGTTTTATATCCAATCAACAATAAATATGTTATCATTGTTCATAATAAAAGAAAACATATATACGAAAAATCAATTAGAAACACAATGTGTCACAGCCAATATAAACCTTAACTGATCATATTTACGAGGAGGAATTGTGTGGAAAAGAAAAAAACTTGGCATGTAGAGTTGTATACATCATTCAAACAAACTTCAATAAATACAAAAAAGTCTAAATATTTTTTTAAAAATTACTTTACATGATTTGGTATTATATTTTTGTTCAAATTTCATATTATAAAAACATACCGTAAAATATTTAAATAAGTTTGAAAAAAATATAAGAAATGTAGGTATGTATTAGTTAAAAAAAGACGTCCTAGGATAATAGGGATAGGTGTAGCCATTGTTATAGATGATTCAATGTATACCTGTAAGCAATAATAAACTATTGCTTACGAAAAAACGATTCTGAGTGGAGTTCAGTAGATAGCGATTCTTTGTCAACAATATAGACATACCATTTTAAAGTAAAATAATTAAATAATCTGTATATATTTTCTTTAATCATTTTTATTTAATTTTGTATCGATTTTCCCAGTTTTCCTACGATTTTTTCGGTTTTCCCATATTTTATCCCGGTTTTTCAAATTTGATGAGAAAATATCTAAGGAAATCGAAAAATGAGCTCTCTAAAGTACCTCCCTAGTAAAATTTCCCATTAAAGTTATGCACAGAAAGAAAAGAAGGTCGTACTATATTTTAACAAATACCTAAAGTTTTTATACTTTCCAGTTTTTTTTTTTGGTTTTTCAAATTTGAAGATAAAACTCTTGAGAAAATCGAAAAATGACTTCCTTAAAGTACCTCTCCACACCGATTTTTTTCAGAAAAGCTGCTACAATCAAAAATCTGATCAAGTATTCTGGTAAAAATTGTGCCCTTGGGAAGGTAGTAGAGGGAAAATTTAATGCACATCTCTAAGCAACGATAAACGCTTTGTCCACAATATATATGTCATATTATGGTAAAATAATTACATAAGCATTATATATTCTCTTTAATAATATTTGTTTAATATTGTACCGATATTCAAGTTTTTCTTATACTTTTCCCATTTATTGGAAAAAAATAAATTTATTTACTGATAAAGCAAAAAATAATCCTCCTAAAATACCTCCCTAGTACTATTTTCTTTCAGAAAAAGTAATATCATTGTAAATCGGAGCACAATTTCTAGTAGAAAAGTTGTTCACAGAAAACAAAAATAATAAACATTATATAAAACGAATACATTCCTCGCTCCACTCAGAATTTAATATTCAAACTACTAGGTAACTACTTAGCTAATTATAATATTATTTGTCTCACAACAAATACTTCTTATTGTTAATAGTTATATAGATATACATAAAAAAATTATATTGTTTTATTATTTACGAATATTTTGTTTTTTAAAAATAGTACTAACTCCTTATTACTTCGTTAATTTATTTGTATTATTTTTTTTATTTATGTTTTTCAGAGAAGTTTCAAACTTATAACAAAATGAAAAAA